ACACACACACACACACACACACACACACACACACACACACACATAAAAAAACCCACACCTTTATGCATCTTTTTTTCGCGCTCAAAGAATTATCACTCATATCTCTAGAATGAACTATTATATCCATTGATAAAGGGAATACGAGAAGATTGTATAGGTGTTGAATGAGTCGAGTACCAAGTCAAAACAGCTCAGATTTCTTAAATAACTTGATAAAACATTCCACTGCGACTCGCTTCAACTTTTTATAATAAAATGATAATAAATATATTAAATATTAAAGTATATATATATGAGAAAGTGGAATCATCCATATTTCTTTGTCATCTTATATTTCAATTAAATTAAACTCTAGATCTAATATTAATAACAAATACATTAAATAATAATTTGTTATTTAATTCATTCCACTGCGATTCGCTTCAACTTTTTATGAGGTCACAGATAGAATCTATGTAAAGGGTACTGACAAAATGAGTTACTTCCCGGATTCAAGCCATACGGAAATACATACATCACGCTTATAGCTGAAGTTTTTACAATTTATAAGTTTGAAATAATAAAAGACAGGTTCTAGTTCAAGAATATGGCATCAATAGAAAATCTACAAATTTGACCCTAACGTCGATTTTTAGCCATATCTCCATTTGTGTATTGCGAGAAGTAACTCATTTTGTCAGCACGTCTCACCTATATTATGTAAAACTTCGTCGGCAGAGAATTCTAACCGTCTAACTCCGAAATTTTCTCGAATTGCTTTTTTCCTTAAAATAGATTGACATAACGAGTGACTACGTCCTATTGGTATCACCTTAAAGCTTGTTCACTTGTCTTTATTTTGAGGAAAAAATATCAATTTATCTTGAATACAAGTCGAGATATTTGCGAAAGAAGGAGGTTGGGTTCAGTCGTTTTCACGGGTAAAATTAGTGAGAAAATGGCCACCGAAGATTAGTTATGTCCTTAGCTTAAGAGTTCCTAGTAACTGAAAATTTACATTTTTTGTGCCTTTAATCAACGTTTTTCAGAAGAAAAAAACCCACACAGAAATGAGTTCTTTAATGGCCATAAAAGGTGTTGAGCCCAAAAACAAAAATTTGATAAAATTTCACAAACCTGCGGAAAATTGCAAATTTCTTCATTCTGATTATTTTGACGAGAGCCTGATTCCACCACGCTGCCTCACATATCGACACTTTTGGGGGCGCACCAACAGCTCCGTTGGTATCATGCTAGACTAAGACGTCTGGCTATCTAGGCTCGAATCTTGCAGGGGTGTTTGTTTGTTTTGTATATTTTGTTTGTTTTGTCTATCTTGGGTTGACTGGGTGGTTTCCAACGCTTCAATCAGAGATGTGCCGCCTCTTTGGCATGAATTCCACACCACGTTGGTCCAGTACGTTTGTTTGTTTTAGCAGATGTTTTACGGCGCTCGCTACTGCATACGGTCATATAATGAGCGCCAGATGATTAGAGGTATAACAAAGAGAGTAACAAACATCAAAAAAAGAAGGAGGGGAGATAAAGACGATAGATGTTTGATAGGAAAGAAGGAGCAAACCACACCAAAGCACCTGCCAACCACCCACCAGTACGTTTTCCCCGAAAGCCACAACAACGATTTACAAAACAATATGTCGTGTATCCTCACTCCCACGTAGCCCAATCACATCCACTCTATTTGGGCCATGCTAAGCAAATTGACACAGACATTGGTATTGCATACGTCTACGGAATGCCAAATATGAAGGCTACATGCCATACATCCCACACAGTAGTCTCCAAAACACCACGTAAGGAGCTTACGAATTGCATCAGTCATGGAACAGTAATGGTATAGTTGATTTCATTGGCTTCAGATTGTCAAAACGATAAGTGAATAAATGTAAAACAACGGGTTTGACATGCAGCCATCACGCCGACACCCAACAGATGGTAAACAGCTCAGGTTACAATACATTTTTTTGGAGACGACAGGAAAATGAAAAGACAGAAAATCAAAAGTGCTCTGGGGTTATTTAAAAAAAATATTTTTTTTTAAATATAGGTGTTTTATACGCCCCAATGACACAATTTAGATCATTTAGGAGTCGGGATCTGACCCTACGTGCCAGGAACAACCAGGACTGAAAGCCGTTGCTGAGAGGGATGCAATATCCCCATAGAAAGCTATCTATTCGGTTCGGAGACGTTTCCGGCGGAGATAGACCAATCAAAATGCCTCTGGAGCAACTAAAAATATCTAGGCCTGTTTTAACCCATGATTTGATAATTTGTACTTAGGTTTGAAATTTTCTTGAAAATAATTGATTTGCTACGGTTGTAGTGGCTATGTGTGTGATCTGCAGTAAACAACATCCCAGCCCCCAGCTGAAAGAACGAGATGCTCAATTTTTTTTTCTGACTCAGGAATCGAATTCGGGTCTCCTGCGTGCTAAAGCGAAGCAGCAGACCGCTATATGATACACCTCAGACATCGGTTTGGGACAGTTTGCACAAATGTCGTAAGGCGAATTTGTTTGTTTGTTTGGGATTTTTAAAATGAAAAGCAAAGAGAAGTTTTAGTGTCTGGTTGCTGCACTCTACGTGGTAGGGCGTCATTGGTTCTCATCCATCGCCTAATTATGGGTACCCGGCCATAGACAGCGAAAGATCTTGTCAGTATGTTAGTGTTTTAGCGCCTATAAATGGCTGCTTGCACTGTATGCTTCCCAGGAAGTCGAGGTTGTTTCAGAATGCTCTCAGGTCTGCTAGGGTAATAGTATATAGATTGTGAAGCGCATAGATATAGCTGTTGAGTGGGGATTTGCGCTATACAAACGTTATCTATTATTATTAATTCCAGCATGTCAAATTCGGGTTCCCCAGAGGGCCACATGGGTCACATGATAATTATGTTACCATGAGGTGGCAAAATAATTTTATTTTAAATGACGTATCATTCAATCCACGCAGTTTGCAGCAGCATCAAGTGCATTGAACAAAAACTACAGCAGTTCCAAGCTGAACATAATGTGTTTGCTACTACTGCTATTCCATCACTGGAGGTGTTTTGTCTGGACAGATGTGACACCTCTTTTTTACGGACATTTTGTTTAACATCTCGCTAAGTGAGTTCCAACTTCTTTGGGGTTTTATAAAAAAGTTTTTGTAAGAGTTTTACGGCACTTGCAACACAATAAGGTCATAAAGGAGGAGAGATAAAGACGATAGTTGTTTGATAGGAAAGAAGGAGCAAACCACACCAGAGCACCCGCCAACCACCCACTTCGATCAGAATCAGAGATGACAGGTGTTATCAGTTTGTTTCGTTCTCTAACACGAACAGATTTTTGTTGATCGCATGGCATAAAATAACTCTTCATACCCCATAGAAGAGCCAAACGTTCCAACAAATTTTGTGAAAAACTTTCTGAAGTTATTACACTATCCAAAAAGGCACAAAATGTAACCAGGTATCCCAACTTCAAGATATTTTGCTCTGAGCTTAGAGTCCTATTATATAATGCAGTTTCATATCTAGGTTTTCTTCTGCCTTAGCAACATCAAAGGTGAATAGTCCTGAGAATTAGATCTATGCAACAAGTGCACTAAACCATGTGGTGGTTTGGGAGGGGGGGGGGGGGGCTGTCAACACAGCGTCATGGGGCGAATGACCTCCACGGCGGAGTCAACGGCCCTAAGAAACTGAACCCTATCCGTACGTCGAGTTTTACTATCGTATCCATACGATGTGGGGAACTCTGTGCCACCACTTAACCCTATCCGTACGTCGAGTTTTACTATCGTATCCATACGATGTGGGGAACTCTGTGCCACTACTTAACCCTATCCGTACGTCGAGTTTTACTATCGTATCCATACGACGTGGGGAACTCTGTGCCACCACTTTCCAAAGAGGAAGCGTACTCGTTAATCCGATCCCTACGCTTTGCATTATAACAGTCTGTCAAAATGATTTTTTGAGAAATACTGAAAGTTTCAAAGAGATCTTCGTACTACAAGTATTCCAAAATGTGAAGAATACAACCCCTGGGGTACAAAATGACCCCCAGGGCATACAAATAGGGTTAATGGGTTACATCATGTTCACGAGCCACCAAAATGGAGGACATTGTCCGTGGTCTGGCAGGGAGAGGAGTGGGCTTTGCCATGCTACACTGGACAATACACACTTGATGAAGATGACCTCTTTGTATAGAGATAACAGAATATTCAATGAGAGATAGTGAAAACCAAAATTGGAAAAGCCATGAGGTCGTTTAAAGACCTCTCAACCTCAGTAAGAAGATGCAAACTGAAGTGGTAGTTGACACATTACACAATCATCTGGACTGGCCAAGAGAGAGATAAAAAGGCAGACAGAGGAAACAATGGGAAGACAACATCAAAGAGTGGACTGGCTTTAACACTTTACAGTCAAAGAGCCAGTAGTACAAAATACTCCATTTGGTCACTCTGACAGGAAACTGACTGCAATGGACTTCTTGGGGCTGGCGCAGTTTCAGGTGACCAAAATGGATAATTTTCACTGTCGCATTATTGCATCAAGAGACCGTAAAGTGTTAAATGGAACATCATAGTGCGGCAAGCAGTGTGGAGGAAGCTGGTTGTAAAATCTACAGTGCCTGTACAAACAGTTAACAATAAATAAGTTACAACTCAAGAGGTACACAAAAGTGTTACTTTATTTGCAAATATATGTACATATCACATTTTCAGTAACATAGAAATTGTTCCAAGCTTTTCTATGTTACATTTTAAGGACTCTAAGTACGCTACATGGTTATTTTAAAAGTTTGGTCTTGCAAAAATTCACACTGTACTTTTATGGGAAAAAAATAAAAACCTGTCGGCATAAGATATAAAAGGTCAGCATGAACCTAATCCTTGAGACAAATTTGAATTAGAAAATCGTGTTGTCACACATCCACCTGTCCACGAGTCAAGGACCAGTATTTGACGTGCCATGTGCAAACACCAACAACTGTGCTTTGCTCATCCCTTTCCGTGGAGAACCCAGTCATTTAGGAGTAACTTACTCTTTCAAAAATTCAGGAAAAAAATGTAGAATCTATCTTAATTTCCAGAGAAGAAAACACATTTTGTTAAATTTGCGAATTATTTTTTACAAAAATATATCTTGGTGCAAACAGTTTATAATGTAGTTTATTTAATTTACACACTTTTCTTCAACTGTTCGAAAAACGAAAAGAAAGAAAACAACAAATTTCAGGCCTATAATAAGGATGCTAAAACATTCAATATCACTAGAGCACACCAAAATTTGGTCAGTTTCAGTCTTCGAGCAAACAGCCATAAACGAACATTTCCTCTTTAAAAATTCTCAGTAGCCCAAAATTATCACTAAATTTGGCTCTAAATGAATTATCTCCATTAGGGGTCTTTGTGAAATTGTACATTGAGGCAAGCAATCCCCTTTAATTTACTTTATTCCTCCTTCCTCATACAACAGCAGAAGCACGCAAAGAATCACCCACGGTTTTTTCCACAAGTACCCCTCACATTGCTACAATTACGGAAACAATAATCACCGTATCATCCTTATGGAGAAACAATAAATGTGAAAGCAAAACAACAATGCTGTGTACATCCCTAAGATGGAGCGGAGACCAAACCAGCCGGGCCATGGCCAAGAGTCTGACCACCAACAGTGCTCTCAAGAGGTTTGAACCCAAGTTCTTCAGTCGGGATACCAAACTGGCCCAGTTTCGATTCGTAAGTGCGCAACAGGTCGTTGTGTGCCTGTGGATCATAAAGGAGAAATGGTCAAGACACAACGATATCAGAAATTTAAACTCTAAGAATACATACTTAAATATTCCAGAGTTGTTTTTAAATATAATAAAGATCATGCCCAAAAATTTTTGACAATACCACATCAAAGAAGCGTGCTCCCCACACCAGGGCCGTGCTACAGACTGAAGTGTCTTTAGACCATTCCCAAAGGGGGGGATATTAACATGTTCTTATGCATGGTAGAATTGTAAATGAACTGATTTATCAATCTGTGCTGGAACAACACAGGAGGAACTGCTGTTTTTTCTTTCCTCATCCTTACTATCGTCATTTTTCCTATACTTCTTTTGTATGTTTGTCACTCTCTTGAGAACTGCTATTTCCGGGGAGCCTTGATAGTCGAAGCAGACCTTGTGCTGTTGAGGCCAGAGAGGTGAGCAGAGAAAGCCTGATTTTCTGTTTGGACTTCTTTGTTGACATCCACCCCTTGGCGCTCATATGACCTTAAGCGCTGTAAAACCTTACTAAAAACTTTTTAAAAACCCAAGGTAGTTGCTAAAAAGTCATGAGCCTTCAGGAAGAAAGGATTTTAACTTGCACTTGAAACAGAATGCTTGCATTTTGGACTGTTTGTGCCCCTTAACCCTATCCGTACATCGTGTTTTACTATTGTATCCATACGACGTGGGTAACTCTGTGCCACCATTTTTCAAAGAGGAAATTAACTCATTAATCCGATCCGTACGCTTTGCATAGCAGTCTGTCAAAATGATTTTTTGAGAAATACTGAAAGTTTCTAAGAGATCTTCGTACTAGAAGTATTCTAAAATGTGAAGAATACAACCCCGGGGGTACAAAATGACCCCAGGGCGTACGGGTAGAGTTCAAAAAGCACAGAAGGGACTAGCCACCCCTACAGATGTACCTAATTCACCATCAACGGGAAATTGCCTTTATTCCAAGAGGCAAAACAACCCCTCAGCTTCTACTCGTTACCATCTGTTCTAAACCATTCAATCTTTCTTTTTTTAACTTTCAAAATAAAATGTAGATGTTATTACGCCCCTATTAACATGATTTAGATCATTTAGGAAGCAGGTTTCAGACCCTGCCTGTTTACTATAAAAATAAAACATCCCCCTCTTTCCCAAAAAATCATTATCCATATTATAACAAAAAGAAATTCCAGCTATACCTTGCATACTCGTGCCAACTCATACTGGAGATCTTTGATGGCACTGTTCTTTGAGTCCAGAACATCCTGTGAAGTAAATAGAAGTCGAGATATTTGAGATTGAAGAAGGTGAAGTCGCCTGGTTTCAAAGGTAGAATTAGCGAGAAAATGGCCGCCAAAGTTTGGTTATTTTTATAGCTTGACAATCCGTGGAAACTGAAAATTTACATATTTTGTGCCTTTAATCAGCAGAAATATGTTTCTAATTGGAGAACAATTGTATTAATCCCAAAAACAAAAATTTGATAAAAATGGTCAAACTGGCAGAAAAATGCCAGTTTCTTCAATTTCATTAGTTTGACGAGCGCCTGATTTCACCACGCTGCCTCACATATGGTATCTAAACAAACGTAGCACAAACTCAACAAAGTATCGCATCTTCCCAACACACTCACCTCCAACTTCCTGGTGACCACTGTGAGAGCGGTCGGGTCCAGGTTGGATGCAGACAAGACCTCGTTGAGCTGCGCCTCCTTCTTCTCCAAGGTGTCAGCCAGAGCAGCCAGCTTCTTCTCCAACAGCAGGTTCTTGAAGTTGGACTTCTGCTGCACCTCGTGGATGGCCTTGATGAACTTGCGGTACAACTCGTCTCTTTCATCCTGAGTCTGAGAGAAACGAAACAAGAGTTGTTTTAGTTTTAGTAAGTAATTGTTTTACAGCACAACAGCAGATAAACAAAAAATCGGGATACAAGTGATCGAAATCGGGAAAACCGGGATGCTTGAGATTTAGGGAAAAAATTCAGGATATCCCAACTAAATCGAGATGAGTGGCAGGTCTGTTTATGCAACCAGAAGACAAACTATTTAGTATGTGTTCTACAGAACTTGCAACACAATACGCTCATATAAGTGCCGAATATTGGAGGTGTTACAAGAGAATAACAAACACAAAAAAGAAGGAGGGGAGAAAAGGACGATAGATGTTTGACTTGAAAGAAGAAGCAAACCACACCAGAGCTCCCGCCAACCAACCACAAACAGAGTTGAGAAGATTACTCACTCAACCTTTTAGTAAGTAAGTGAGTGAGTATTTGTTTTAGTAGAGGTTTTATGGCGCTCGCAACTGCATAAGGTCATATGAGCGCCAGAAGATTAGAGGCGTTACAAGAGAGTAACAAACATAATAAAGAAGGAGGGGAGAAAAGGACGCTAGATGTTTGATAGGAAAGAAGAAGCAAACCACACCAGAGCACCCGCCAACCACCCACAGTGAGTGAGTATGATACAGGCCACATTTTGCCTCAATCAGATATGCTCAATAGTTACAGACGCAACTTTCCAACCACCTGTAAAATAAGAACTCCTATTCTTCCATGTTACATCTGTCTGCGCAAGTGAAAGAACTTACACTGGTCAAATTTATGCACACCTGCCACTCTATGAAATCTCAAAATCAGGATCTCAGAGGGGAAAAAATCGGGATATTGTGAAAAAAAAATGGGCCAACAGCAAATCACTAAGGTGACTGCCAAGCTGACTAAAAAATTTTCTGGTTGAATTCATTTTCATCACTCATACGCCCTTATATCTTATTCTCAGGAGCATTTGTAGAAAGCTCATTTTGTTCACATTTTTCAATGTATTTTTTAAAAATGTTTACTTTGTTGTTTTTTTTCAGGATGTTCAAACTATGTCTACCTTCTGAAATCTCTGTTCCAAGACTTCGTGTTCCCATTTGAGCGACTTGAAATCTTCAGACAACAGCTTGAGACGTGCCTTTGTCATCTGAAAATAGAAAAAAAAACAACCAGTATATAGCAGGAGAAGCAACAAAATAAAAGCAGGCAGATCTAATAGCTATTCACTGAGCCAAAGTTTCAGCCTTGGGAAAGACGATGTTACAAAAAAGGGACATATATTCTATCGGCCGGAGCAAACAAACAGTCACTTTTCCAGGATTTGACTTTACATCACGCCTCATAAATACTCCACAGAGACAGTGAGACAGCTGGAAAAAAAAAAAGGAAAAATAATAGAAATAGACACCGCCAAATTGTAGAAAAACATATTCTTTTCAAAATACAACCAAACTTTATCCAGTCCAGAACTTTGCTCTCTCAGAGACGATTGAATCAATGATTTTTTGAAGAAGTCCGCCTTTTTTAAAACCGCTTTAAGAATATTGAGTTAGAGAACTCTTCCAAAAAGAAAAGAAAGAAAGAAAAAAAGAAAAGACTCGGGCTGTAGAACTATAGAAAATAGTTGGGTTTTCTTTCAACAACAAAAAAACCCCACAAGCTTCTAGGCTGCTAAAAAAGCATTTTGCTCACCCTAAGCATCTCTTTATCTTTCTCGTAGTTGCTCAGCTGCCTCCTCAGGTCGTCAACTTCCTCACGGGCTTTCTGTAGCGGTTCAGTCAGACGTTTGTTCTCAGCTATGACCTCAGCCATCTGTTTCTCCATTCTCTCCTCCTTCTTCTTCATTTCTTCAACTTGGTCCTGTCAAGAACAGAATTCACAGTTTATGTTTAGTTTTTAGTAAGAGTTTTACGGCACTAGAAACATAATAAGGTCATATAAGTGCCGAAGATTAGGGATGTTACAAGAGAGTAACAAACACAAAAAAGAAGGAGGGGAGATAGAGACAATGGATTTTTTATAGAAAAGAAGAAACTGCTTATGTTTGTTTTTTTGTTTTTGTAAAGTGTTTTACGGCGCTCGCAACTGCATAAGGTCCTATGAGCGTGCGGGACACACCTAATTTTTTCAGTTGGTAGGAAATTTTGAATTTTGCCCGGGTGGTGGCTGAAGCCTACTGTTATCAATTTTAGACCACCAAGGGATCTTTAACATGTGCAGCTTGCACACGGGCCCTCCGAGATTTTTTGGCCATGTCCGAGAAGGCTAGGCTTAGATCTTTCCTACCAGAAGATCAGGGGTGTGGCAGAAAGACAGCAGTAAGGAGGAGCCAAGGAGTAGCAGTAGAAAGGCTGCAGAAAGAGTGAGGAGCCTAGAGGAGGGGGCAAAGGAGGTGAGGGGGTGGGGGCAGAAAGTGGAAATGAAAGCAGACGACAGAACATTGCTAGAGAGCAGGAAAGGAGGGGAAAGAAGACAATTTTAGAGAAAAAAACATTTCGGTCGCTACCTGGATTCGAACCCGGGACCTTTGAATGAGAGGCCAACACCTTAACCTCTAGGCCACGATAGCCCCCAGTTTACGTGTAGTAAAGGCCACAACAGACAATAGGACAGAATGGAGCTTTACAGAAGGTGTCTCAACATAGGGGAAAAGACACCAATACAATTTACTTTTTAAAACAAAAACAAAAGAATTTAGTTTCATAAACTGATTCCCTACTGAATAAGCTGTAAATAAGAATAGCTTAGGTTGCTTGTCAAAAGCACCATAAACTTGAGAAAATGCATTAGTAAAACTACTGCAAAAATGTTTTCACAAACCCAGGAAATAGATTTTTTTATTGACACTTGTTTAAGGACCCAATTCAAACACATACAAAGAAAACGTAGGCCCTGTACACATGTGTGTGCTCATTTTATACATTACCAATAAACATAGACAAATTATAACTGATTAGAAAAACATGGCCGTAGTGATGATGTTTTGAAAGAAGAAAAAGTGACCTAATTTTATTCAGAAAATAAATTTGAAAGTAGTGGGACGAGCCTGAAAAAGAAAATAACAACGATATTCCAGACAACAGTCACTTAGGTTAAGCAGATCTCAACTATAAACAAAGACCTAGTCACACTAGGAAAAGTATTCCTCAAGTCCTTCTGACCTCTAGCCTAACAGGGATTTTGGGACAAGCGGATAATTAGAGAACGTCAGATGTACACCATTGGCCGATATTTATAGTAACAGTAGAAAAAACTCCAAGAAACGGTGGAAAAAACTTAGGGCTTAAAGAGTTAAACAACACATTCCGTTAAAAGCTAGAAATGAATCTGATTACAGTTGCAAACGGATTAACTCTCTCAAAACAAAATGTTATATCGAAAGAAAGAAAAGACAATAATAATACTGTAAATGTGCACTCACCTTCAATGTGTTGATAAGGGCAAGGTTGTTCAATGTAATGTCATTGTAATAATTCTTAATATCGCTGAACGCCTTCTCGTGATTCTTCATAAGGGTGTTGATCTGGCCGTTCTTCCTCTCCTCAATCTCATGAATTTCTGTCTTTCTTCTCAAGTCTAGCTCATCACGAAGAGCCCTCATCTTCTTCTCATATTTTGACTCGATTTCTTTGGCTTGGCGCTCAAAGCTGTTGCGAAGGGAGGTCATGTTTTCATCATTTTTCTGAAAAAATTGAAACAAATGATGTCAGTTGTATACTTCACATCCAGCTTGATGAGTAGCGAATTGTTTCAGCACCCATACTTTCCCCTTTGTCTAATGTCCAGTCATCTCCACTATGGGCATAAAAAAATACAATCTTAAAATCAGATATCTATTTTAAGTTAAACTTTACAGGAACCCATTTCTCACTTGCTCATAACAACAAAACCGTCTCTACATCCATACCAAAGAAGGATCAAGGTTCAAAAATGAATTCTATTAAAGAACCACTTCAATTCGGGAGCCAATGGAAATAAATAAACATTTTTACGTACTGTAGTTTCAATGGTACCTGCTGACTTTGACCTCTACAACACATTGCAACTTTTAAAAGAACAATAAAATGTAATGTAACCAAAAAAACCCAACAATGCTACTTTAAAATTAAGCAAAAATTAGTAAATGCATTGAGAAAATGGGAAATATTAGCTTTGATCGAGAGAAAAAGTTCAAGATTAAAAATGGCCATGAATATCCACTGACATGTGGAGTTTCACATTCTTCAATATCCTACATATTATGTAAGAATTCACAAAAACCCTAGCAGCTAGATAACATAGAAAAAGGATTAGCCTGTTCAAAGAAGGAGACCTACTATATCAACATTTCAGCCAAACATATTTGAACACTTCGAGGCTGATGAGAATTTCACTTGTCTGAATTTTAAATTCAAGAAATACTGACCAGTGTTCTCCCACCTTTGGTGAAAGAAAACTTTACACAGACCTTTTTCAGGTTCTTGATGACATCTTCATGAGCTAGCTCCTGCTCCTTGAGCTCCACCTTCAGTGCTCTCTTGTCTTTGCGGAGCTCCATCTCAGACGAATTGTGACCATCCTGAGCCTGCTTCAGAGCCACGGAGCCTTCGGCCTTCAGTTCCGAGATATTGTTCTGATGCTCGTACAACAAGTGCTTGACCTTCTGCTTGTACACCTGGTATAACAGAAATTAGTTTTAGTGAGAGTTTTACGGCACTAGCAATATAATAAGGTCATATAAGTGCCGAAAATTAGAGGTGTTACAAGAGAGTAACAAACATAAAAAAGAAGGAGGAGAGGTAAAGACGATAGTTGTTTTATAGGAAAAAAGGAGCAAACCACACCAGAGCACCCGCCAACCACCCCCAGAAATTGGAATTGTGCAGATAGATGAATTAAATACCAATGAGACACACAAAGGTGCACAATAAGAAATGTCTAGGAGAGGAACGGCACAACTAGAAAATGTAGAACAGGAAAAAGCACTTTTTGCACAAAGAACTCTTTATTTGTACTTTTTTTTTTTCCATTTACTTATCTAATCTTTCTTTTTCTTTCATTTGGAAGAAAATCAGGAGCAGGGAGAGGGGGAGGGGGGGGGAATAATTTGCATCTGCACAGATTTCAGGACTTACCTTGATCTCTATTTGATGGCGTTCTTCAGCATCCTCCATCTCTCTATCTTTGTTCCTGAGCTCTGCTTTCTTCTCCTCCAACTGCCGTTTTGTAATTTCCCAAAATGTGTTAACCTTGTCACGTTCCAGCTGAAAGTAATTTCTCTCTTCTCTTTCTCTCTCAAGCTCTTCACGTAGCCTCTGAATGAGCTCCTCCAACTGAAGAAAAAAAGGAAAGAAAAAAGACTTGAACCACATCCGTAGAAGAACAAGAGTCATTTACTAATTAACTCATTCGCTACGCCGAGCTGTGGAGGGCAGCGCGGCTAAAGTGCCGTCAGTACGCTAAGCCAGCCGCCGTGAGAACTGACGTTAAATTTTAGCTTGGTTTCTATTCCAATCCACATATCCATGTCAAAATAAAGGTCATAATATAAAGTTGACTTCCGGGTCAAGCATTTCCACCGAAAATCGGAAGTTTTGATTCAGTTTTGAAACACGATTTCAAAGTTTATACGACACTGTTTTATTGCGAAGTCCAAATTATAGCAATAGAATAAAACAACTTTGAACAAGGAGATATTTAGTCATCTGTTCCTTTAGATTCTCACACCACCCACTGTGCACAAGAAGTCAGAACAAAAACTCAATTTAAGAATTTAAGAGGTTTAGCTTGTTGAGGGTGTGTTGTGTGAGGTATATTGATAACTGTAGGCTATTGTGTCAGGAAAAAAAATAATAAAGGAAAGGAGGAGAGCTAGCCGCAGGAGTAATAATGATATGGTCTGTATCCTTCCTGGTAACCAGATCTGCTTGAATTTCCATCCCTCTGTTGCCAAGGGGTGTGCATTCCTACTGTCAGCACTGATTTCCAGTTAAGTCTGTGAGCCAGTTTAGCAGTCTCATTATCTCAATAGGCCTATCAATGATCTCACTGTCTAGATCTATCCCATTCATGACATATTCGCTTTCCTCATTCCCTACTTTCCCATCTTACCTACAATTTTAAACAACTTACAAATCTAAGTCAATATAATTATAAGAGAAATTTGCTGCTTTTAACTCACTCGCTGCAGGCGTTTTAGCTCAGACCAAGCCGTTGCCTGCCAGCTGTTTTGGACCTTTGGATTATGAAATCCTGTCACGTTAACGAGAACTTCGTGTTAAACTGCTTTGTGTTTTACAGCTTTGTACCTGTAATATCACCCACTCCAGTCTTGTGCTCACTAAAAACCATCAAATCAAAAAGAATATCAAGTAGGGTTAAGCATGACAAATTTATCAAAACAGCAGCAAGCTTTGCCTTTAGAAGTTGGCGAAAGTATCATCAATGAGATGAGGCTCACCTGCTCCTTTGACATCTCTTCTGTGGGAATGCCATCTATCACAGTGGGGGTTTTTCCTGACTTCTTCCCCTTCTTCCCCTTCCCTTTCTTGCCACTCTTCTTTTTTGGAGGCTGGGGATACAGACAACAAGATCTCACATTGTAAAATCTCCACACAACTGGCTGAAACGCTCAGAAACAAGGCAAAAAATCTAAGGCAACTAAATCAATCACAGGTGGATAAAGGATAACACACATTCAAACAAATAAGACTGACATAACATCATCAAAACTGCTAGGGCAAAATTAATGTCTGACCAACAGTTGAGGCAGTCCTCAGTCAAGGCAGTGATCATTATAAATTCTTCCTCAGCAAAACAGTACCGAAGTGACTATTTCTCAGAACGCTCAGGAAAATAAACATGATCTCTATTTCTCCGAACGGTTTCCGTTGTTAGCCTTCATCTTTCATTCTGCCATTCTGCGGGGACTGGGAAGTAGCATTTGAAAATGCCTTCAAAAGGTACTGCGAGAAGTTACCCCTAAAGCAAACACTAAAATCCTTCATATAAAAAAAAAAAATCCCTCCACGCCCCCCGTTCACACCTTACACACACACACACACATGCGCGTGTGCAGGCCACTCCATTCGCAAATTATCAAATTATCGACAAATCTCGAGAACTGAAACCGTCCAGAGAAATATAGTTCAAGTTATTTTCATGAGCGTCCGGAGAAATAGATCGGCCAAACAATATTTGGCAATCAATTATATACTGACGGTCATTAACGGATTGAGCACATTTTGGACTAAAATCTATCCTGTGACATCAATTGAGGTTGACAACAGTTCACGGGCAACAGAGGTTACCGATCGCACAAAATTTGAAGTTCCCAGTTCAAAACTGTCAATGCGCACGTGCAACATGCAAAAATCCGATATGTCGACCTCAAACCTAAAATTTGTTCAGCGAGACAGATTTTTTGGCTGTTAGGGAGAGATTATATTCGCCCATAACAAAAACTGACATTCTTTACTCTGTGCGACGGATTTTTTCTGCGTAAATAATGCCGCGACTTTCCATGCAAGAACGTGAAAAGGCAATTGGAATGCCCCAAGCCGGAATGGCAGCACGGCAAGTTGCCAGGCGCATGAACTGTAGCCACTCGACTGTAATCCAGTTGTCTCAACAAAATGCAGCTACTGAATCTACAGCAGATCAACGATGGAGCAGCCAACCACGAGTTACATCACCAGTGCAAGACCGCTACATTCGCCAACGTCACCTTCGTGACCGTTTCCTGCCAGCACCGGAAACAGGTCGTCAAGTGGTTGGTCAGCGTGGACCAGTATCTGAATGGACCGTGCGACGTCGTTTGCGGGAAGCAGGACTTGCAGCCAGACGCTCGTACGTTGGTCCTGTCCTGACACAGAGGCACTGTCAACAACGTTTGCAATAGGCCAGGCAGCATTTACAGTTGACGAGAGTCGCATATGCTGACGGGAGAAGAAGGGTCTGGAGACTCCCCGGCAAGCGCTATGCCAACTGTTGCATGCTGGAGGTCGATAGATGGGGAGGAGGCAGCGTCATGGTATGGGGAGCGTTCAGCCACGATTATCGCACACCACTGTGCTTCTTCAACCAGCCTGTGAAAGCCACCACGTACCAGCAGGTTTTAAAAAAACCATGTCGTGCCGTTATTTGGTCAACACCCAGAGCTGCAGTTATTCCTACACGACAATGCCCTCCCCCACACCGCTCAAGCCACCACTGCTTTTCTGCAGGCAAACAACATCGATGTCCTGCCTTGGCCATCACTGTCTCCTGACTTAACACCAACTGAGCATGTGTGGGACGAGCTTGGCCGCCGTTTGTCCCGTGGAAGACCTCTTTATAATCTCCAAGAGCTGAGGCGTTCTTTGACAAATGAGTGGGTACAGATTCCAAAGGTGTTCTTTCAGACTCTTGTCAATTCCACGAGAAGACGCTACCAATCCTGTACATTGTATTCAGGACAATGGATGACATACGATACTAAAGCAGGTGTTAAAAACTCAGTTTACCGCTCTGATTTTTGAAAAATGACTTTTGTTACTTCATGTTTTTGTGCTCGCGGTGCCAATTGACCTTTTCATGTCATTTCAGCTGTGAATGTTCACAAAATGGCCATAGAATGCAATGGTATACAATTTTTTAAAAAATAAACACGTCACCACTACTTGAATTGCTTTGTAAGTGGTGCGTTTTTAATGACCGTCAGTATATTAGACTCTATATAAAGTTAGAAAGTGGCTATTCTCACCCGCCCAGAAGTTCTCGCAAGATCAACTCCTCCCCTCTTCTCTCTCTCTCCGTCTCTTTCTGAATACTGACTATCGGTGTGGACGATCAAATTGACCAAAACAAAGTTAAAAAATGATGTTAAAACACAAAAGTAAATTAATTTGGTTGTCTACAAAGATGCTACGGCTATTTAACTTTTCGAATCGAGCCGAACTACGCGGGTCGCCATTTTGTTTTGCCCGGAAATTCTCGCGCTACTCCTCTCTCTCTTTCTCTCTCTCTCTCCGCTGCCCACAGACAAAATTGTACGCTTTTAGTAGGCTACAGTTGTAATGGAACGTTTGTTCACGGCACAGAATTCTACAATTTTTCCTCACAGTGTAGAATTCTATGGTTTAGGGTGAACGCAAAATTTGGTGAACGCGCACCGGGTGAGAATAGCCACAAGACTCGCCTGCACTATTCTCACTCCGGGTGAGAATAGAGGTGGCCATAAAGTTAAGTGAATCATGGGTAGGAAATGCCAGATCATAAGAGTAAAGAAAGGAGGTGAAACGAGAATCTGTTTTGCTGTCTTTCAGTCCTTCTCTGAGTTCAAGCTGTTGGGTCATATGACAAGAATTGTCAACAGCCAAAAGAGAATGAAAGGAGGCCTTAAGTTTACTTGTTCCTTTACTTTGACTTTTGAGAAACAAGAAACTAAAATGACACACACACATGTCACAGATCTACCAAAAGAATGTTAAACTTCAGCTGTCCAACATTCAAAAGGGTGCACAAAACTCATTACGACTTGTAGATTGCAGTAAAAACAAGCGGAAGCATGGAATTTTCATTTAATTTTGTTGCAGTACGCTCACAAAAAAGTATCGACAATTGGTTATTTGTGACCTAACTGTTCCTAAAACACTTCAACGAAGATAAGTATAGATAACAGGATACTTAAAGGCAAACATCCATTTATATGAAATATATTTCCAAAATTATGCACTTTCAAAAGGTAATTACACGACGGTATATTCATACCATTTTGATAAACTACGGCAACTTTGTTGTCGTCCCACAGCACAGTTATGGACGCTTACGGTGGTTGTCAGAGCAACAGAACCCGGATGTCGAAGAGGATAGTCTCTGACCTAACTTTCGAAATTCAAACACTATACTAATTATTCTTTCTTTTTTATATTGGCTTTATACCCGGAAAAGAAAATGTTTTAAAGAACGAAAATTATAGCAATAATAAAAAAACAAACAAAAATGAGGGGATTTTGGTCTCTTTCAAGAGGTTATAAAATGGTTTTCAGGTACCATTCTATTTATAGAATCTAATGGACCAAAATAATAATAATTTACAAAATCAAGGGATGTAACCCAAGACGGACTAAGACCAGTCTTGGATGGAACGGATAAAATATATAAGAAATAGATATAGAATCTAGATCAAGATTAAGGAGCTTAATTACAACCTGTATCGAGTCTATGCATGTAATACATTGTAACTCGTTCATTAAGATAAGCCTAGATTAATGGATTTTTTTTTCTGCCAGTTATTCACTGTTCATAGAACTGGATCACTGAGCCCTCTCTAGGGTTTCTTTTTCCTCTTTTTTTTTTTTTTTGAGGGGGAGAGTCGAGTTTAATTTTTTTTTTTTTTTTCATGTTTAGGTTACAATTTAAGAAATAAGCGGCGATCAACGTTAATCCGGTTTCATCAATAATTCTGTCGTCAGGAACGCAGATGTACAGCAGATTATAACGGTGGCGGCTTAATTAACTTAATATCTATTTGCGATGTACTGTACATTAAGGTTATTTTGTAGATTAGTTCTCTCAGATATATATATATATATATATATATATATATATAGAGAGAGAGAGAGAGAGAGAGAGAGAGAGAAGAGAGAGAGAGAGAGAGAGAGAGAGAGAGAGAGAGAGAGAGAGAGAGAGAGAGACAATTAAATTATTGCATGGGTGGAGTGGAGAGGCGATGCCATATATTGAAACAGGCCTGATCAGGGAATTTTGCGCCAACAAAATTGTACGCAAAGCACGTTTGATCATCCATATATGGATCTAGGATATTAGTTCTATGATGATACGATGTATTATAACGACCATTATATGTTGCTGTCGTATAAAAATATATGAGTTCAATTTACTTGGTTCACTATTTGTATCTTACTGATCGCCGTGATAAGGTTAGAAATAGGAAAAGATGGGAGCAGTTGCACATTCCATAAGCCAAAGCGTTAAGAAGGAGGAGATGGAACACCCCCCACCCCCCCCCCCTCACCAAAAAAGAAGCAACTTATCCTCAAGTATCTCTTTAATCAATTCAATGTCAGCCATACTTTGCAAAATAGTTAATCGCTTTGCCTTAACTTATTCATATTGTTCCTCAGAAGTTTCAGGTTAGGTTGAAAAACTGTTTTTCATAAATTCATATAAAATACTAGAAATTATATCTCCGTCACACGGAAAATAGGATTGTTCACGAATGGCACTCCCTGGCTTCCTGCACACATTTGGCAGACGCCTAATAATAATGGCCAGCTCTAAGCTATCGAATGCGCCCGCCACCCCCGCTTTAGTTTTCAGGTTTTTTTGGGCCCCCCCCCCCCCCCCCATCTATTTAAAATTACCCCCCCCCTCCCCCGTTTATTATTTTCTTTTCCACTTTGCCACGGCCGATGATCTACGTGAAAAATTATATTATACTAGAATCCAAATATATGAATGAAACTTCTTTTTTTGTTTTGTAAACGGCGATCGAACTACCCTCAGCATTAGTACACGTACCGGTTCCGGGTCGGCTACCTCAATTTTCTGTGCAATTAAAAAAAACACTTTTGTACATTGGTTTATATTTTATATGAAACTGGTTGTTCCTAAATGAGAAAAGTTGTCACATTAACGTACTAAAATCACTAAAATTTAATTATCTCTTGTTGTTTTATTCACTGAAGGAGGAAAGAGTTTATGTCCCAGCTACCTTTTTTTTATATCTGTAGAGAAAAAAAAAACACTTGGATTTTTAACTAACTAGTAGGCCATTTATGAAGGATGATTTTTTCCCAGAATATAAGCTATAATTTAACAGGTGATAAAGAAAATATTGATTTGTAAGACAAATTAAATTTATACCTTGCAATAAGTCATTGTGCTAAAGCTTGAGGTTTGTTAGTTTATGATATTTGACAATAAGTTAATGCGCCACGAATTTAATTGACCGCACCATAGTTGATAAAATTATATGATACACGAGAGAAGAATTTAAATAGGCAGACTGCAAAATTATAATATTATAATATTAATACATGTATATCACACATGTCTGACCAAACAAACAAACAAACAAATAAACAAATAAACAAACAAATACCTCCCCCCCACCCCACCCCCACCAAAACAACAATTACAGTCCCCCACAAAAAAACAAAAAACAAAAACAAACCACACACACAGAAAAAAACACACACGAATAAACAAAGGAAACACAACAACGGTAGCTGTTTTGTTACATTCAGGGGCGGCTCGTGATGCTAAAAAGTGGACGTGCACAATTAAGATATTGCAAGCTGAAGATAGTCAAGGGCATAGTAAATGAGACCGTGTATAATTTTAGGATCTTTGGGTTGATGAGGGAGGACCCCCTGCTTTTATTTTCATTCTTTTTATTTGTCGCTTTGATTTCTAGAACAAATTTTTATTGTTACCTAAACATCAATTTAGTTCATCCTGTATTGGAACTGAACACTCCAGTAATAACTTTCACTATTCCACTGCAAAACCATTCAAAGGCACAACTCATAGGACGGTCACGTTCACCTCACTCAGGTTCACGGTCACAGAGTCACTAAAAATAGTGGCAAGACAGACAATGAACTAATCACAATTCACTTGAGCACTCCGCTGGATTGCTCCGGGGCTCATATAATATTGGCAAGGAATAGCGTACAGTCTATCGTGTTTATTTTTTAGACTGCCTACTGTGGCTATGTTTCGGCACTATTCGGCAGGAGCACATTTGAGATGTGCCGTCTTATTCATACCAATGTACAGCCAAACTCGCTACGAGTGTCGTCATTGCTTGGGTTATCCCCAAGAGCGATTTATAGGTCAGGTTACACTGTTGAATATTCTATTATGTTTAGCTAAAGCGCATGGACTTGGGCATGGCATAGTAGATGTTTTACGGCGCTATAGACACATAAATGACAGTTATAGCGCCAGTGAGGACCTTGTTTTGATAAAGTATTTGGCTAGTGTTTGCTTCTAGCTTGTTTTAGTTTATTATTGTGGGTGTTTTACGTAATAGAACATAAAACGTTTGGGCGGCACTGCACGACCGTGCTCTATGATGGACGAACCGCGCCTGGTTATATTATTATGTATTAGGCGCATTGTATTGGATTAAACTGTAGCCTGCTCTTGGCATTTTGTCAATCTGGCTCTCTTCAGAAAAAAATGTTTGTGACCCCTAGTCCTTGTCACGGATATCAAGTAACACGCAAATTATTTTAATATCCTGTAGATCTACCGTACTGCGTTGTATAACACTAACAGTAACAGTTCGACACTAAGGGGATGAGTAATGCAATGGTCGGGTCGGTCTCAGAGTCAGAGTTATTTCCCATGTCCATAAAAACTAGGCCTGTACAACCGACCTAGTAGTCTTCTTGTGTGATCGGGGAATCCCCTATATTTACCCTTTCAGGCTGAGTTGCCAGTTTAGCAGTTCTTTTATTATAGTGGCAAGGCCCCTCAAAACAAATATCGTGTTGAGAAAACCGAACTTCTCAGGTAGTTTTCATACTGTTCAAAATTCTCTAGCTGTCGTAGTCTACCGTGTAGAATGTTATAATTATGAAATTAGATTGTATGAGCATGGATATGTGAGTATAAGTTGGATGCAAATATAGAATAATACCCTCCAAAAATAAATAACAAACATAAAAACTTATGTCACACACATACTTTTGTTCCTGAGATGTAGCAATGTGCGTTTATGATTAGAAATAGATGGTTTGCACTCCTTATGCAACTTTACTTGACAAAGAACAAGTAGTCAATACACAATTAGGCGATAAATTATAGATAATGTAACTGACTACTTGCACGACATAAGAAATGAGAAAATGTTTTAGCACATTGTCTCGATATAATCTGGCAACCTGGCTAGTCTACACTACACAGGCAGAAAATAGAAAGAGAATGTCGCCATAGTGTTGAACAGTAAAGTAAATCGTCTTTACTCTTGGAAAACCAGTGATATCTGTGGGTTATTTTTAATACCATTTACTGACATGATGTCTTGGTTTGAAGATTAGGTAAGATTTTGAGGTAGATAAGCCTATGTCATCAGTGGTCAATACATTTTTGTACTTTGCCCGTCGAACTCATCCTCTTGCACTTCCCAGTTCTAAAATCTACAAAAACTCGATCTAACCACCCTGATCCTGCTCACCGCAGACTAGACTCTGGCGGCCTTTACTACCTGAGCTGAGTACCCGGCTTTGCTCGGGGTCGACGCCTTGGACTCACTGCTCCTACTGGTCTACGCCACAAAGGCATTTTACCTACTGAAGTCAAGTGTATACAGACCCGGTAACTGGGAACAAAGTCATGAAGTATACAGACCCGGTAGGGTAAATCTTTTGTGATTTCGGAAAGTTTCAGCGCCCAGACCCGGTAGTTTGTGTGTGTGTGTGTGTGTGTGTGTGTGCATCCTTGCAGGAAAGAACAGAAGAACGTTCAACCAGATGTGCACTGGCACAATCAGTAGAAGGACCCTCGGCAACATTTTGGAGAGAGCAACGGAGCATCAATGGACATGTCCGGAGTGCAGGGATGTTGCTTCCTTAAACAATAAACAAAGTGTGGGTGTGGGTGTGTGTGTGTGTGTGTGTGAGTGTGTGTGAGAGAGAGAGAGAGAGAAGGGGGTAGAGAACAGGGGAAGTGCTAGCAAATATCACATGGGCCAGCTCTATTCGGACTCGAGTCCGAATATTTATAATTTTTTTCTATTCATTCTATGGGTTTTATCTATTCGGACTCGGGTCCGAAAAAATATTTTATTTATTTGGACTCAGCTTCTACTCCGTTCGTAAATGCTGGAAATATTTAGGAACAAGGGTTGGAAGTCGGAACAGACTTCATACTGCACTCAATTCGGAGTCCGAATACAATTTTTGTCTATTCGGACTTGGGTCCTTATAGCACTTCGTATCACATGCCCCAGTTGACAGGAGGGAACGAGAGAAAGATAGAGTGGGAAAGTAGGAGGGGGAGAAAGAAAGACAGAGACAAACAAAAAGAAAGAGAAGGCGAGCGGTACACAGAGGAAAGAGAGAGAGAAAAGGGGGGGGGGGGGGGGAGAGATGGAGAGACAGAGCAGAAATAAAGAGAGTGACTGCACGATTGAAATTATGACATTGTTCTTTGCTTCAAATTGTCTTAATAAATTGATTCCTCCAACTCCAAAACGGAGGAAAAACGATCGTTCATCCGCAATCTTTATTTAGATCTAGGCCTCAAAACTAGATTTATGTCTATAATATAATTTATGTCTGTCTGTCTAGATGATCAAGACCTAGCCATAGATCTAGAAGAACCTTGATCTACCCTGAGCCAAGATCAAGAGGGCGCTGAAACTTTCCGAAATCACAAAAGATACTTCGTGACTTTGTTCCCGGTTACCGGGTGTGTATATGACACTCCCTTTACCTACGTTGCTGTCTAGCCTTTCACAGTCACACCTGGCTTCTACTTCTAGATCTAGATTTTAGATTAGGTCTGCCTTGATAACTCCTCTCTTGATGTACATGATTGCTTTCAGGTGTATTGCTGTCTTGCCCTTCACAATCACAAAATACAGGTTTCGCCTTACACCCTCACAAAAAAGCACTGCGCAGAAAATATTAATCCACGAAAGGGCTGCTACACTGTAAAAGGAACACACCGACTTCTTCAAAATCACAGAGTCAGTGTCTATTATAGCTTGTTCACTTTCCTCTGACAGCGTAAAAAAAAATTATAGCTCATTGACAAATTTACCTGCCCCCGAAACTTTGCATGGAACTTTTACAGACAGGCCAGTGACCAAACAAAAAAAAAAAAAAAAAAAAAATCTTGACCCAGTAATAAAAAAGTTTTTCTCTTTGGGCCCTAAATTAAAAACAGCTCTTTGGATGCATACACAGGATCATGTCTCCACGTACTACTGGTCAGTCTTGAAAATTACTCACCCCGTCTCTTGGATCGTGTTTCTTAGGCGAACGTTAAAGAGTGGTAATGAACTTCTGTTATGAAGGAAAGCTAAGCAGATTTGTTTCATTCATTTCTCAGTTGAATAATCGCAAAGGCCAAAGAAGGATGGGAACTTTTTGTCAAATATATGATTTGTCTAAATTCAGGAAATGAATAAATAAAAAATCGGGCTCCGTCATGGGGACCTATCTATCTTTTTGCAGGTACAGTGGAGTCCACTTATAACGAATCCTGAAATAACGAGAAGTCTATTTATAAAGACACTCTTCTTTGCCCTTCTTTATCTTTTAAAATAAAATACTGCTATATATAGCACGTGCACACACACCCAGCCCAAGCAGTTGGCGATGAAACCTAGTGACGTTGCCCATCGCACGCTTAACGGCAAAGCGGACCCGCCACAGTGAGATCTAGTCAACTGGCGAGGGGGAAGACGACAAAAATAGACAGCAGAAATACGTCATAGCTATATTTGGGCCAATCACAGAGATGTGCTCAGTGCTCGCTGTAGCTTCATCATGTATTAGGTTATACCTTAGGTCTAGATCTCTAGATCTATAATACAATAGTAATAGGCCTATAAATAATGTAATAAGTAAATGTTGACCAGTTTTCGACTCAATCCAGAGTGTCCCATGCCAGTCAGTCGATGTAATCCGAGGCACCCTCCCTTTCCGATGAGTCCTGTAACAGCACAACTCTACTGAGCTTATTAAATGTGTGCCGAGTATCTAGGCTTACAATACTTCTATAAGTCCTGCAGACCTGCCACTCATCCCGATTTAGTCGGCCCGATTGTTTGCCCAAAATCTCAAGCATCCCGATTTTCCCCATTTTGATCACGTTTATCCCGATTTTTTGTTCCAATCTGCTGTTGTGCTGGATTTTTCTAAAAAAATTTCACTCTGCTTTCATATCTCTGTTGCGGGAAGCACCCGTTGAACTTTTGTCAGTTGGAACTCAGAGCATTGTTTTCTTAAATATCGATGCCGGATAAATTAGTAGTTGATTCTTTGCCCGCTCTCAGAATTCTCCGATGATAGCTTGATAACTGTTACAATTGTGACGTACGAATAATGATTCTCGTAGTTCTGCTGTAACTTTCAGAACAAGCCTCGTCTGTGGTCAAGTAACTGCCCGATCATACCAAACACTCGGTGGAACGACATTCGATCCAACCCTTATATGTTGGTACATATTTGGTTGGTCGGCCATGGTCGTAAGCCTAGAACGACTGTCGCTCGACAGAGTGTTTGGTATGAACGCGCAGTTAGTTGTGCCCGTCAATAAAACTCTTTCAATCGCGCGTTCGCATCGTTGTGATTCATTGGACAGGAAAGCTTTGGATGAAAAAAATTAGGCATTTATCCTAAATACAAGTTGAGATATATATATATCTGAGAATGAAGGAGATGGGGGGTCACCTGGTTTCAGAGGTAAAATTAGAGAGAAAATGGCCGCCAAAGATTAGTTACTTTTCCTTAGCTTGAGAGTCCTTGGAAACTGAAAATTTACTTTTTTTTGTGCCTTTTATCAACGGTTTTCAGTAAAATCCACACTGAAATGTGTTCTTTAATGGGCATGAAAGGTGTTGAGCCAATAAACAAGAATTCAATAAAAATTCAAAACCTATGGAAAAATGCCAGTTTCTTCACTTTGATTATTTTGATGAGGCCTATAATGAAATGAAAGAAACCAACACTTTTCTACTAGTTTGGTAATTTTTATCGAATTTGTGTTTTGTGGCTCAACAGTACTCAACAATAATTATGTGCATTTAAAATGATAACTTTACATGCCCAAAAATTGACGAACGCCTGATTCCACCACGTGGTGACACATAATATATATATATATATATATATATATAAATGAACAAGCAGTTTCTCCGCAAACACACAGTAAATTTTCATGAATCATTGTTGGCAATTTGCTAAATTTACAGTGCATTCATATATATATATTATATATATAGATGTAGAAACATGTTTCTTATTTTGCGAACTCCATCTTATTTCCTCCTGATCACAAACCATCCTTTGTTTGTGATATCATAAAATTATCAAGAAAGCTGGCTTGCCAACCTCCCCGAATTTTTCGGGAAATTCCCGAATTGCCAATGTCGTTCCCGAACCTTTCCCGAACCGCCGGTTTCCTGAAAATCGTGATGTC